CGAGCACTCACACGTTCAACGTGATGAGCCGGTTAGCCGATATCGGCAGTGAACCGCAAGGCTGAAGGCTTTTTACAAGTTTCAAGCTGTTATTGTTTGTAACTGCTGTTTAACGCCGCAGTACGCGATCGAAAGCTATCACAAGAATGCTGAGTTATGGGCAAAAGTCGGACCACGGACGGGATTCGAACCCGCATCTTCTGCTTACCGGGCAGTTGCGTTCCCTATTACGCTACCGGGGCCACTTTTGACCACTCAGCTCAATGGCTATTTGTGCCATTGCCTTCGAGCACTCACACGTTCATCACGTTGAACGTGTGAGTGCTCGAAGGCAATGGCACAAATAGCCATTGAGCTGAGTGGTCAAAAGTGGCCCCGGTAGCGTAATAGGGAACGCAGCTGCACGGAAAGCAGAAGATGGGTTCGAATCCCGTCCGTGGTCCGACTTTTGCCCATAACTCAGCATTCTTGTGATAGCAGTGTATAGTGCTTCCACAGCTGCGACGATGGCAGTGCCAGAAAGAACTAGATTCTACATAAAACCTTGCAGACTTTTTTGCTGGATGCGGCTCTGCCTGATTCATCAAAGAACGTGCAGGTGGCCGTGGAGAGTGAAGAGGTTAAGCAATATAAGTTTACATGAGAGTTTACATGACTTTGTCGCTATGCTTGCGGATCTACGCGATTTTACCAAAACATCGGGCTGATAAGAAAGTTACACTATAAAGCCTATTTTGGCATGCAATAATGCAAGCTATGTATTTTTATTCACCACAGTTCTCACCCTACTACCACATACTTTTCAGATGAATGCTACTCGCATAGGAGAAGATGTTGAACTTCTGAGGCTGTTCAACATGTACAAGGTCGACAGCTACGTCTACGAATGCCTTAATGGGCATTTCAAAAGAATGTAGCAGATTATGGATCCTTCTGGATGTTCTCACTTTGCTGGAAGAGATCACCAAGTGTAACCTGGTAGTTTGGCAGATTAGATTCGTGAAACGCGTAGTCATAAAATTGTTTGTCTACAGAGCTCAGCACTGGTAACACGTTTGTGATCCGGGCCGAGACCACAAAGAAAGAAGACCACCAAAGCAAGAAAATACAATTCTCTGCAGTTGGAGACACTATAAG